AGATGGATAGATAAATAGATAAATAGTTAGAATAATATATTGATAGATTGATAAATAGATAGATTTATAGATTCATAGATAGATAGATAGATAACTAGATAGATAGATAGATAGATAGGTATATATATATATATAGAAAGACAGATAGACAGATGGATAAATAGATAGATAAATTGATAGATACTTAGATACTTTGATAACTTGATAAATAGATAGATTGATAGATAACTAGATAGATAGATAGATAGATATATGGGTATATATATACATATATATATATATATATATATATATCCAAGCATATGAACGTATTAGACTTGTATAGACAGAAAAGTACGTATAACAAACATAAATCTACGCAAGGACCTCAACACAAAATAATTCGCTATGAGAACGTAGCATTTCGCTACGATCTGTCAAAGTAGCAGGAGCACAGAAAAATCACCTCTCACACTGCACGTGTACATATTTCTTTGATGTTCGTAAGCAAGCCAACTCTAATAAATAAAATAAATAAAAACACGGCAGGGAAACGTAGTTCTGTATCGCGTGTACGCATACGAATACCTATATCATGTGTGCGTATACAAATACCTATACACATACATAGACGCAATCACTCAACCTACGTCAAACACTTGATGGATATGATCAATAGCCTTCAATTGGTCTTCGATAATCTCTGCCGGTCGCAGTACTACGTAACTAGCACTTAAAGCTTCGTCTTTGCTATCCTCTTTTTCGTTGATTAGATCGAATCCTTCATCGTCGTCGTCCATTCCCATGTCCTCGTCACTCTCAAACTCAAAATCAAAGTCAGACATACTTGCTATGTATAGAGAAGATACACGGGGTCTACCTTAGGTGTAAATGAATTATATAACGCTCGTCTGGATCCGTATAGGAAGACATACATGAAGTGTATGTAAAGCACCTGAATATTTTTATACAGAACGGTCTACACAATATATAGAATGTAATATATATATAATATCTGATTACAGCGACGAGTGACGACGGGGGCGACAGGCGACAGTCTCATAGAAGAAGTATACGTTTTTTTACTTTTTTATTATTGTAAAAAAAATAGAAATATTATATTTTATACCATACAACAAGAGGAGAGAACTGGGAATCGACGCAGCGCCTTCACCAGAGTCCATTGTCCAATGCCTATTATACTGTTTAAAATGCTTATCTGTTTTCCACCAATGGCAACGCCTTATTACTTTCGAATTTCGTCTTAAGTAGTTGTTCTGAATTCTGTAGTACATACTATTAGTTGTAAATAGTATTGAAGTCGTACTAAATACACATGTGTATGTATGTACTATGTACTATGTAGGGTGTGACACCTAACAAGTGCAGGAGGCATTGCGCTGAAGGGTACAGCGTACATCTGTTGTCCATATACTGTTCTATGCCTTTAAAAAAAGTTCATATTTTGGAATTTATCTGTCCTACACTTCATAATTGAACACTTTCTCGAATATTGTATTTATTTGGATATCAAGCGAGAGAAGGCTGAAATTTGACTTGTTTTGTATGGCTCTCTCTCTCTCTCTCTCTTCTCAGAGTCAAAGTGGAGGATAAATGAATGTCTGATCGGACTAAGAGAGAGGAGAGTGGCCCCAAGAACTTTTTGTGCAACAATTTCTGGCTCGAAATTTGAGTTCTTTCTTTTATACGCCAAGTAAAAATATGTATGAAAACACGATATCCATGTGCACTTATTTAAACAGTAATAAGAGGATTCAGCGGTCCATCTCTAGCCTCTCACTACTACCAGAGCTAGAGAGGTCATGCATAAACACGTCCAGGCTCCATCTGTTGTTGTATTTTTCAAGTATAGTTAGATCCCATCACACCTGATCCCACCAGCCATATCGATTTGGGTTTTTCTTAAATAAATATAGCCGTCGCCAAAAAAAAGCGGTTGTCTCTGTACCCAACGATTTACGGTGTAATGCTATCTATTTTTAGAACTGACACTTTGGACATCCCTGAAAACTGACGTAAACAATAATAGAAGTAAACGAGTGGTTCAATAGTGGTATTTGTGTATGTATTCAAGTCGAGACTCGGAGAATCGAGATTATAAAAGCGCGCTTGTTCGTTTAGCCATTCCAAACAGTCACATAGTAAGCTTAGAATTGTATAACATCCGCGTGCTGATCTATACACAATGTCCTTATTCGCGACGAGCAATGAGCAGGGCGTGTCTCCGTATCTACTGGAGTTTAAAGCAGGTCGATGTAAACGAGATGGTAAGACAATCTCACCCAACAGCAGGAAGGGTCTGATCTACGTTCACCAGGTGTGTCTACACGAGGTGGTACTGATGTGTGAACTAGAAATTATATCTTAATATTCGGAAAGTTTCTTATATACATGTGTTTAAATATATGTAGGTTCTAAATTTCTTTCAGAAATACCGATACACATCCTCTTTTGTACATACTTCAACATATATATTTCGATATATATATGTATACATAGT